CCCCGTACCTGTTTTCGTTCTCCCTTCTCCCTCAGGAAGCAGCCTCTGCCCAAAGCTGTTCTCTGAAGAATGTGCACGCCCCCAGCTTGAGGTACAGATTACAGGCAGCTGAGCCAAGTAGACATCATTAAGCTGATTATAAAACTCTGTAAGGGTCTGAGGAGACGAAATGTCTATACCTACCCAAGCTTGCTTTGATAAGTATAAAACTTCTTGCAGCATCACACTGAGGGGCAGACTTCACCCACCTGTGATGATTGGTGCCCCCTGTAAGTCAAACTGTCTTTGCCTGATGAACCTTGGGCTGACTTCTTTGGAATAGGTAAATATTACATGCATGCCCTCTCAAATTTGGAGTTGCCACATTTCAGGAGGAGACTAGAGTTAAAGAGTCTCCTGCCCCACTAAAAAGTATAAAGAAAGAAAATGAAACAAGCTGAAAACAAGTTGGGAAAAGTGAAAACGCTTTCAGTTGACAGTGAGATGGAAAACTATTTAATCTTAGCAAGCTCAAAAGCAGGTGACCAGTGTGTTTTTATGTATTATGTTAAAAATCTAAGACCTCCAGAGACCAGCAGTTAGTGTAATGGCTATGTCGCTGAACTCCCATGTAGTCGATCGCAGTTCGCGTCCCGGACCTGGCTTAAACTCACGGCGGGCAGATGTGTGTATGTGCCCACGATCCTGAGAGGAGAATGGAGGAGAAGGGATTGGAGCGTGGCCGTCCCCCCTGGGGTTGATTTCTCACTTTCTCTCTGTCTCTGCCTTTCTGGCGAGTGCAGGCACCCTATAGCAAAAACCTTTCAAGAAAAAATAAAAAAACAAAACAAAACAAACTAAGACCTTCACATCTTTATTATTAGATGGATTATATCCACTATCAATTTGGTGGCTATATTCAAAACATGGTAAGAACTGACTGGGCACCAGGCATCGTTTTAAGTGCTAACAACCTACAAGCAAAGACTTTGAACACATAGTTGTGTTCTGGTGGGAGAAACAACTAACTAATAAAGCCATGTATCACTTTGTGATAGTGTTAAAAAAAGAGAAAGAAAGAAAGAAAGAAAGAAAGAAAGAAAGAAAGAAAGAAAGAAAGAAAGACAGACCAAGATTGGAGGCTCGAGTGAGGGTGCAGGGAGGAGGGTGATGGAGGGAAAGTTGTGAAAATGATGTTACCTCTGTTTGGACTCCCTTCTCCTCCCAGCAACTTCTTTTCCTTGGTTACCTTTTATGAATCTTCAGATCTCAGCCCCAAATCACTTCAAGGAAGACTTCTCTGGGCCTTGGAACAGGCCAATTTCTAGTTCACAATCACAGCAGAGCTGCTTCACCGTACACTGCACAGTTACAACATGTGTACAAACCAATGCCTTTGCACCCTTCAGATTAGAAACTCCCATGAAAGCAAAGATTGTGTCTCATGCACATTCAAATCTTTAGAACCTTGTAGTTGTCAGAGTGGCTACCTGCTGCTGTTTGTGTTCCCCCAAAACTTCTGTAAAAATTTGGTTGTATCATGAATGTATTAAGAGGGTAGAGGATGGGTCCTGCAGGCTGGTTGTTAAAGGAGTTGATCTCACATGGTTGATCAGGCAGTTTTTGTCCCAGATCTGGTGGCTTGAAAACTATGCCAGGCATTTGTGTGCATGCATGCCCCCAATCCTGACAAGATAGAGAAATGAGGAAGGGACTGTAGCACCCCATAGCGGGATGCTTTTTCTCTCTTTCTGGCAGGCACAAGTATCCTATGGTAAATGAAAATATTAAAAAAGAAAAAAAAGAAGGTGGAAGTTTAATCTAACTATAGGATTAAGAGGTGAAGACTTTAGGAGGTGATTAGGATTCAAGTAATCAGTCTGGGGTCCCTAGGATTGAATCCTGGTGGGTTTATAAAAAGGAAATGAGGAACCAGGAGACAGCAAAATAGTTACATCACTGGACTTCCACATAGTTGACTGTGGTTCAACTTCCGGACCCGGTGGCTTAAAACTCATGCTGGGTACATTTGTGTGCATGCCCCAAATCCTGAGGGGGCATGGAGGAGAAGGGATTGTAGAGTGGCCATTCCCCCAGGGGATGATTTCTCATTTTATATCTCTCTGTCTTTCTGTCTCTCCAATGAGCACATAATCCCTATAGTAAAAACCTCTCTCTGAAAAAAAGGAAATCAGACAGACAGACAGACAGACAGACTTGAACATGTTCTGTTCTGCTCAAGTTCTTGTTGTGTGATGCCAAGCTACCTCGTGATTCTGCAGAGTTCCCACCAAGAAGTAGACTCTTACCAGATGTGGCCCCTTGACCTTGAACCTCCAAAACAATGAGCTAAGTAAACCTCTGTGCTTTATAAATTACCCATGCTCAGGTATATCTGAAATTAGCAACAGAAAGGAAGACTTAAACAATACCCAAGAAATCATTGTTGAATGTCTAAATGATAACTTACAACAAACCGGAATATTCGATTAAGCATGGAGCATTCCTTCCCAGACCTGTTCAGAAAACACTGTGCTTAACCTCACTGGCCATTTTATATAGTAAAAATAATTAACATAATTTGGTTTTGTTTGGCTATGAATATCAATTCTAACTTATAATGCTTTCGTCCTTTCATTTCAATCATGTTCACTACTCTTAAAAGTGTGTGCTGATCGAACTACAATTTAAAACAAATTATATTTTACTTGTAAAAGACTGAGTCATAAATAGGCAGAATCAACCCATGCTTTTATTTTCATTGCATATAAAAATTTCATATGAAGGTATTGATGTACAGTACTATCCCCATGGGCTGTAAGAGAGGCTAAGAAACCACTAAAAGAATCATTTGTAATGCTCACACACAATTTTACCACTCTGAAAACATATCCAAAGAAATAAAATTTAAAACAACTAAAATCAGTAAGGATGTTTTTTGTAATTATAGTGTCCCCTTTGTACTGTTTAAAACAAAAGTAATCAAATTCCTTTGGGCCAGGGCTGCTAAAATCTACAGTTTGTGTCCAAAAAAAAAAAAAAAAAAACCCCAAAAAACCAAAATAACCCAAAAGACCCCAAATTAATAGGAGGCTCATTTTTCGTAGAAAAAGAACCTCTCCTTTCACTGAGAAGCCACACGTTCCAAGGGCTGGGCAAAAATAGGAGGAGGTTTCCATATTATCCACTAGGAATTTGTTATAACTTTCAGGAGTTGGCCATTGTGTTTTAAATGAAAAAATTCTAAAGCCATGTAAGTTTTGCACAAACAAATGCTAGAGAATAGCGACTCCCTTATGCTATGTGAATTGGCATCATATATAACATTGTGTTTAAATAGATGGGTCCATACATTTCTAAGGAAATTTGGTTGACCTCAATCAAACAAAAGTGCTAGGGTCAAAAAAAAAAATGACCTTTTTAATATTTCACATTTTCTTACCATGACATGAAGCCAGTGAACAGATTAATCAATACAAGTGACCCATGACTCCTGTTTCAAATCGAGTTCATTTTCCTATAAGCTCTAGAAGTCAAGAAGACTTTTTGTAATCACTAGGCAAGAACATATTTCCTCAGTAGTATCTGAAGGAGAAAATGACCAAACATAAGTAGCTAAAGTAGCTCCTGGTCAACAGATGGCAAAAATCATCATATGGGCAGTGCTGCTCCTTGGCAAGAAGTACTTCCATGCTTATATCTACAAGGGATCTTGGAATCTCCCAAAAGTTGCCCAGGGTTTTGTAAAATTCAGCAATTGCCAGAAATCCAATCAAATGCAAGCTTGGATGTAAAGTGCCCAGCCCTAGCCCTATCATTACCTTACTTTTAAATGCAGCAAAACAAGAAAATATTGGTTGAAGTTAAGGCACAGCCCTGGGACCAAAGACCTGCAGCTATGTTTTTAAAATTTATATATCTTTATGTATTTTTATAGTTTTCTTGAATCTTCCATAAACAAGCTCTAAGGTGACAAGACTTATATTACAGGAAAAAAAAAAAGAAATATACAAGGAGTATGTATACACACCATTCATTCTCTCACCAAGAGTTTCCAAATATATCAACACCACCCTTTCATGGGATGATGTTTTAATAAGAACTGATAATTTACAATTAACATTACAGTATGTACATTGCAATAAATACATGGTTGTAAACAGACAAACAAGACTGTATTACAGGTAAGGTCATTTGGTGAGAAAAAAATGCATGGCACAAAAAATAAATAATGCATTCACAAATTATCATAAAGCTTTCTGTAAAATCCATTTCAAGTTTTTTCTTTCTTCGCCTGAAATTTGTTCTATCTACATTATTTTCTTGTGAATTTTAACTGATGCAAAAGAAAACAAAATTAGAACAGCATTATTGTGTTCGGTAACTTGCAAGCTGAAATGTACTGGTTGTATGCAAACTTGGACATTTTTTTTCCCCATACAGTACCCAGATATTGCATTTTCTTATGGCATTTTAGGAAATGTAAAGCCACTTGTAAAAGGATGTTCTCTGTAAAGCAGTGTATATTTCTGAAGCACACTTTGGCAAGAGAGAAGGAGAGGTAAGAGACAGAAAGAGAAAGAGAAGGGATCATTAGCAGATTGTACAGTGCATTAGTCCCCATCTCCTGGATATTATATGCCTTTTCTTCAATTTGATTGTCCATCAGTGGGTGCCTTTACAACATGGTACCATTAAAAACTAACAAGCTGGGAAAAAAGCCTTTATTAGTGCAGATAAAAACCCTTCCAGGTCTGTATATGTTAGTGACATATTGCTGCTTTTAAATTGTTTTTCGTTATTAGGATTCTAGGCACTCTTGGGGGAAACACCAAGTGTAGGGAGGGGAGGGGATGAGAATGCCTTGGAAAGAGGAATAAACCCTTGACTCTGCTTTCCTTCTAGATCCCCTGAGGGACAAAAAAAAAAAAAAAAAAAAAATATATTAAAAGAGAAACAAGTTTCTAAGTGTTCTTATGAAACCACTTGGACCCTCTTGACTCTGTTTTCCTTCTAGACCCCGAGGGGGAAAAAAAAAAAAAAAAAGGAAAAATATATTAAAAGAGAAACAAGTTTCTAAGTGTTCTTATGAAACCACTTGGTCAAACATAGGTTCTATTTGAAAGACACTATTTCATCTTTATAGGGGAAAGAAGTTGATAATTAATTAGTTGATTCCTATTCTGCCTTACGTTAAAGATAGAGCCTCAGAGCCATGAAGACATCATTTTTGTATCAAAAGTTCTAAGAACCGATTTGATCTCAGAGGATTCAAATAGGGACTATCTTCAGCTTAGAACACTTCCCTGGCTGATGACTGAGTTACTAGTCCTTAAAAGTGGCCTTGGCAAGTTCCAAATATAAATGTTTTTCAGGGTTGTCATTTTCCCAAACTGTTATTTTTCACTTGGTGAGATAACCCCTCTAGTCTCTATCTCAATTCCTGAATACCAATGTGAAAACATGATTATTTTGGTTCCACACTTGTTGAGGAGAAGGTAAATACTTCATTAGGAACTGCCATGGGAAGAAAGCCCAAACTAAGTGAGTGCCCCATGGTGCCAGCTGCTACCACGGGTGAGTACTGGGAATGAATCTTAAAACCGAAATATAGTTCTTGTTGACATCAGCTACGAGTTCACTCTAATGTTTTATTTAGGTAGAATCTTACTACCAATCTAGTATTTGAGGACACATCGCCATCACCAAACTGTGGTGCCAGTGGCATCATCAACCTCTTTCTCTCAGTGTGTTCCCCTCCACAAGTCAGCACTAAGGATCGATAATACTTGTTAATGCAATATCTGCATGTTACAAGGTTTTCCATTAAGAAAGTGTAACTGCTACACTAAAAACCACTTCTCAGGGATAATTCCTTACATGGTTCTTAATCCCACAGTGAAATTATAGAAACTAAAGAGAATTAAGAAGTGGTACTGATATTTGTGGACATATTCTATTAATATTCTTAAAACCTTCCCTGCTAGCCATTAACTTTTTTCCTGTAAACCAAGAGTAAACATAATCATGACAGAAATGAGTGCAAACCCTAACCTGACCACCTGTTTCTTATCATCAATCAGAATGGTGGTAATATATTTGATAAGACCCCATCTAGCAAACATGGACAGAGGTTCAAACACACGTTATATAATAAAGCAGCACAAGGGGGAAAAGATTTTTCTTACTATAACTGGCTATAAAAACAATAAAAATGAGCATGAAATGTGTGTGGGTTATTACAAAGACATGCACTCATGAAATGCATGTCTATTGACACAGCGAAAAGTTATCAGAAGACACTAAGTAGGAAAATATCTTAAAAAGACTGACCATTTTAGCTACTAGGTATTTATATATCTCCCACTTGCTTCAGACAACACCAACTGATGATTGAGTTTCCATGAAGCTTAAGACACATTTTTGACATGACACACATCGAAGTATTACAGAACAAATATTCACTTTGCACACTGTGAAGAAAAACATCAGTAAAGAGCAACTCTGCTTATCTGGAAAGAGTCAAATGAAAAGCAAAGTAAACGAAGACTTACAAAAAGGGTTTCCTGCAACATAAAGTTGTTTTTCTGTTTTAAAATATGGAAGTCATTGGTATATAAAACAATGAATCACTACAAATCAGTAAATTGCTGTGAACTATAAGGTGCAAGTAAAATTTGTAAATTAGATTTATCCAGTGTAGCACAGATTTGTACTGAAAACTTGCAAGTTACTCTTTAGAAAAAAAATAACCAGTGGCAGATGAAGTTCTGAACATAGTTTTTTAAATATAATACCTCAATACATTTAATAATAAAAGTAAGCTCTACAAAAAATCTGTTTTACATATCATACAAAATGTAGAGGTCAGTGCAGCTCACTGAACCACACTATTCAGTCATATATCAGGAAGACTTGAAATTAGAAAATTATGCAATTTCTGTGGCTCCTCCTCCTGGTAACAGATTGATGCTATGTCCTATTCTTGCCATATCTGTTGCTTCATCCATTAAGTTCACTCTGTTTGTATAATGCCTCCTTCCTTCTGAAAATAGTACAAACAGATAAAAAGAAAAGAAACCCTAAGCCAGTCAGCTTGTGGGCTGCTTGAAGAGCCATGCTCTCTTGAAAACATTTGGAGTTGACTTCATCTGCTCCGTCAGCAACACCAAGCTGAAATCGTGTTAAGATGCTGTTCGTGAAGATGTCCACCTTGCTGTGATGACATGGAGGTGAAAAAACTGGTTACGATATTCCTGAGCGCCAGACTGAGTAGTCAAGGTCAGTTTTGTTCAACAAACGTCCTGGCAGATGACAGTGAGGTGTGACCATGGTTGTGGCATGTGACATGCACTTTGGAAACAATTTTTCTACTTAAAAAAAAAAAAAAAAGAGAGAGAGAGAGAGAGGAAAAAAAGAAAGGCTTGAGAGTCTGCACTGTTACGTGTCAGGAGAATGATCCTCTACTACACAAGCTTCAGGCTGGCTTTCCTCTTCTTCCCCTACTGTCTCCTCTTCAACCTGTTCATCGAGGGGAATTTCAGTAGACTCTGAGTCTTGAGTACAGAGCGTCTTGGAGTCGCTGCAGCTAGTGTCCTCTTCCACTTGACTTCCACTGTCCTTTTCGGTATCTGACTCACCATCTTCCTCTAAAGTTAGTTCAAACTGGAATTTCTCGGGTTGACCCTGCCGGCCCTCTTCCTGGTCATCAGGTGCAGGAGAGGGACTCTGAGGGATTGTGCTCTGGTACCATTCACGATTGTCCTCCAAAGTGTCCAAAATGTCCTGGGCATCAGGATGGACGAGGTCTGCCCATGTCTCCCAGAGAGGATGAACAATATAGTCTATGAAGCCCACCTAGTTTAAGGAAAAAAAAAATAGTATGAGGACTTAGGACTAAGAAATGATGGAGAGAGTTCACTAGATCATGGCCTTCAAACAGGGCACTGATGAAGATAACTAACCTTGGTTTGATAAAATAAACAGTACTGTAAAAGACAAACAATTTAAGAGTTGTTTACTAGCTACTGGAAATCAGCGTGAAGAACCAATAGCTCAAAAGTATGTTTACAACATAAAAAATTTTCCAGGTGGAACAACCAATTGTGTGATGGTTACGACAGCTGTGTGGTTCGAGTCCCAGCCCTGGTAGCTTGAAAAACATGCCAGGCATATGTGTGTGCATGCTCAAAATCCCAAAAGGAAAAATGGAGGAGAAGGGATTATAGCATGGCCATAGGAGGTGCTATCTCACTTTTCCTCTCTCTTGCTTGCTCTCGGTCTCCCTCTGGCAAGCACATGCCCTCTAGCAAAATTAAAAAAATAAATACATAAAATTCCAGTTATTTAAGCAGTAGGGGTTAGGGCCTAGACCTTATTTCAGAACAGTCCATTTGTAGGTGAATTCAGAGAACTGAAATAATGCCAAATACCTACTATATATAAACATACTATATGCTTATAAGAACGTATATATAATCATATAAATGTAAGTCATAAAAATTGAAGTTTTTTGACCACAGTACTAAGATGAAATTGAACTTGTCAAAAGGAATTTTTAAAATTTGGAATTTATCTAGATTTTTAAATTGTAATTTTAAAAAACCCAATAAAATACTGTGAGATATAAAAACAGTGACCTAATACATAGTTGTAGCTAGCTCTCTGGGAAGCTTTATGCTACATACGTTACCTGTGATTTTTCCACAGATGCATTGTGCTTGTCACACATGGGACTGATCTCCATGCCACGTTCCCTCTCTCGGTCTCCTTGGCGGAAGAATTCCTCCATTATCCGGTCTGTCCACTGGCGATACAGCTGCAGAGGCTTTGTGGGGTTGCTCAGATCGGCACAATGCACCATATTCTGAAGGACCTAAAACAGTCAAATGCATTCTCTATTCAGCACCTGCTCCCTTTTTTAAAAAAACTAGAAATTCACATCAGATGACTGTGACACTGAAAAATACATGTAGTGTAAGATTTATTCCAAACAGCTCAATCATGATGTGTCTGTGTAGGGTTCACATTTGTATGAACAGTTCCAAATTATGCCACTCTATCTCATCTAAATATGATAAGAAACTGTTTATGTGCATGGTTGATTAAAATCAAAGCTGCTTAAGTGGCTAGTTTTGTGGGGTGTTAGTTTTCTGCCTTTTTTTTCCTTAGACATATATATGAATGAAAATACTAGTAAGATTTTACCTGAGTAATTCTCAGGAACAGAAAAGAAAAATAAATCCTATTCAAAGCTACAAACACAGACATGTGCATGTGAGCGAACATACACACACACACACACACACACACGCAGAGCAAATTCAGTAATGTTGTACCTGAATCCTATCAGAATAATTATCAAGAAGGAGAACGCCAGAACTTGTCACTTTCTTAGTTTCAACCATAGTTTTCAAATCGGCCAGTAGATTCATGTGTTTTGACATGTCTGTTGCAAGTACCTTAAAAGACAAAGCATATTTTATTATGTAAAATACAGAAGAAAAAGTCAGAATTTGCACATGAAAATATTATGCAGAACATTAGAAGGAAAAAAAAAACGTGATGTTATCTAACAACTGTGTATGGAAATTCTTTACTCCTTAGGGCAGCCTCTCCCCTTTTCCTGTCAGGTTTTCTGACAGCTCAGCTAAACACAAAATATACAGAAATACTAAGCTCTGACAACTACTTTAAAGTTGAGTAAAAGGGACGATATCTCCAAAGATAATCGTCATCTGTTTTGAAGTATTTTTTTGTTCCTTACACTAGAAAGTAGACTAGCATATGCTGAACTGATTCAAGGTTGCTCATAGCTCAGAAACTGAATCTTCTTGTTAATTTTTGACTAATTCAAGACAGATAATTCCTGATTTCCTTTGCACAAAGCTTAGCAGAGTAAGTTTTTGACAATCAGAGATCTTCTTGTCTCATAACCACTCTGAATAGTGTGCATAGAGAAAGAAGTCAAGTCATGGATGTTTTAAAATGGCACTGTCTAGTATGGGAAAAGGTGAAAAAAAAATCCATTTGAGCTATGATCCATGCTTTTTGCTTCTGTTAGTCATCTGTTGTCTGCCACCAGATAGGACAAGCTCAAGTTCAGAAAATAAGATCTGAATGATGAGGGTAAGCTACCATAACTTTAAAAAAAAAATGTTTTATTTAGTATTATTTTCAATTTGACCAGAGAGAGAGAAAGTGAAAATGAGAAAGCGAGCTTCCAGGTCTGGGGCTCAAACCACGGTCAGCTATGTGGGAGTTCAACATCTTAACCACCATGCCACCTGCCAGTCTCGTGGTCATAATTCATAAGTCTAAACTGCTAGAAGTGAACTCAAGGTCATAATTCATAAGTCTAAATTGCTAGAAGTGAAAACCCTGTTGTAGAACATCACAGCCAACAGCAGTGGCAGCTTCTAAGGAACATAAAAGGCACAATATGTTCTGAAACAAGATTCCTTTTCACCTGATACTCATCTCATTCTTAGAAATATATTAAACACCTTGCATCATAGTTCTCTTTTTTGCTTTAATCAGCTACTTACGATGTCAATAACCATTTTTCTTAACGACTGTCTTTGCTTTTTGGTCAAATTCTGGAAAATGTCACAGTTTTCTTCCTGAAGCAACTTAAAGCCCACAGCCAAGTGATGGTTCTCTAAGACAGAGGAATCGTTGTACATCAAGGCAAGTTCAGAGTCTGAAAGGAAGGCAGAAGGAAAGAGATCAGTAAAGCTGTTTACTAGAAATGTATCCATTCTTCAAATTCTAAGACACTTTTGGTTTAGGATGCAATTTCCCTTAAACTTCTCTGTTGCTTTTACCATTACATGACAATATTTAGGAGAGAACATACTGAGTAACAAAAAGAACAGTGGGATCTTAGGATTTCTAAAGCTACTGACACAGGGCAGGTCATTTCACTCGGTGGACCTCAATGTCCTCTTTTCCTAAAGTGAAAAGATTAGACCAGGCAATCTTTAACCTCTCCTCTGGATCTGCCATAAGCTCAGCAGAATATGACACTATTCTTAACACGGGCAACATGTCCAGAGCATCAGGTGCTGTATTCCCATTAAATGTGGATCACCTACCCTACAATTTACATCCTGTAAGGATCATGAGATATAGGACTCCTCATTCTCAGAGAGGACAAGGACAGTATGGACCATACTAGATTTGTCATCATGTTCTCACTTTCTTCCACAGTGTAGCTCTGAATGTCTAAGTTTCACTCATATTGCCCCAAGTACCGTGGCTGTCACAGGCTACATGTACATATTGCCCTTCCCACGCTTGCTCACAGCTTCTCATGCAGATGTTGTGTCCTGGCTATCTGCATTCCCTACAGTGAAGATTCTGCTGCTCTCTTACGATAGCCCTGGACCTGTGCATTTTAAGCAGGAGAGAAGCTGCCTCTTTCCTTGTTCCGTAAATAGCAGGCTCAGATCTTTAAAGCAGTCTTTAAAAAAAGTTGACTGGTGCTTTCTTCTTTCTGTGTAAGTCATTGTAAAGCCAAAAGCACATGTGTTTGATATTTTTTCCTAATGCATAGAAAATACATTTGGAGATGTGTGTGCGCACATACATATATCCTTTTCTAAGAGCTACTCAATACTACTCAGAGACTATTAGAAAGAAGTTGGAGAAGAGAGGAGAGGCTTAAGCCATATCTCACCTGGGAAATTCCAGGATTTTTATCAGGACTGTAGTAAAAGAAATTTTCACACATCTAAATTTTTGCTCCCAAACTACAGGAATGTAAAGGTTTAGAGGAAGAAGAACTGTGTAATGTAGTATTTGTTTGTTTGATAAAGCAATAGTGTTCATCTTTAAAAAAAAAAAAAAGTAGAATCTGTAGTCTTTTGTTAAATAATCTATAAACTTCTAACCATGAATCTTTATCCACAGATAGTTAAACATGCAGAAATTGATAATGCCTAACTAATCTACTGGAGTTCTATCTAGAGAGTAAATATGCATATGGATAAGGGGCATTAACAGACTTGGTCTTACAAAAACTCAAACTAGTTTATGTGTCCAGGAAGAAAGAGAAGAAATGAAGGCTATGGCGCCTGCAGAACAAGATGATATCCTGATACCTAAAGGAGGGGGTGAACGTGCAACAAAGCGTCTGTGTTTTACTGAACCTAAGAATGGACTTTCACATGGGTCAAATGTTCAAGTGCACCAGCTAAGTCATTTGAGAAGAGTCTAGCTAGGCCAGGGAGGCCATGGAAGGATGCCTTACTGAAACGGCGGACCACTGCAGATTCTTCAACCTCTGAGGCTTTTACAGTGAGGTGATAGTGACTGTTTATTCTTAAATAAAGTATTTAAGAAACTGAATCTCAGGGCAGTCATTTAACTTTTTACTCTTCTTCAAGACTGAAAAGCATGTGGTCACATCTAAAGAAGGAGGTGAGATTCTGCATCTCCTCAGTAGATCATCACCAAAAATTCTAATCCCGCACTTCTAGGTAGACTCATTGCAGGTTCAGGAATAATTGGAAAGTTGCATTTCATTCATTGGTATAATGAATGTATAATAGAGAGGGCTGGAGAGGCGAGCTTATTTAACATTTAACATTTTTGTTGAAATTCTCTCATCTTCAAGTCCTATATAAGTCACCTCTTCTGTGAAGTCTTTTCTCATGACCCCAGGTACTGCTCACTTTCTCGCCTGTAAACTCCTATACTACGTTGTGCCATCCATTTGGAACTTATCACATTCCACTGTATTTGTCTTCATATCTGTATAAATCTTTTAATAGCCCCTCCCAAAATTCTCCCAACCTGCTTAGAGGCTTAAGCCCCTAAATACAATTAAAAATGAATAAATTGAATATGCTTCATTGTCTGGTTTCTCCGGGGCACTTTGATTCTTCCCAACTTATAAAGCTTAAAGAAGAATACAGTAAGGCAAGAGAAAGGGAAAGAAAATGTACTTAGTGGAGATTTTAAACATTACAGCTGGCATGCCTCATGCTTATGTTCTGGATTCACCTGGCCAACAGACAAAGTTATAGGACAAAGTTTTTTTCCCATTAGTTTTCAAAAGACGATAGTTGTATGAAAAAAAAATTTCCAGAATCAAAGAACCGTAGATGATATTTGTTAAATGACATCAGGCAGACCTTCTAGTTTGGGGTAGGATCCTGTCGACTAGAAACGACTGCAAAGAGGCTATTTGCACTAAGGTAAAACATTTAGTGGATTTTGTGCTGGGTATTATATGAAGTGGTTTATGTGGATTAACTCATTTCATCTTGATGACAAATCTCTCCTGAATTTCTCCATTTACAAATGAAGAAAACGAGCCTCAGAGCAGGTTAGTAACGTTGCCAATGTTACCTCCTACATAAGTACTGGAGCCAATACTGAAAAGCAGGTAGTTTCTAGATCCTTCACCTTATCCTGCCTCTTATTACAGACACTTTAAAACCAGAGATAACACTGAGCAGAGAACACTAAAGTTAACTAGGAAATGATCAACACAATCCACTCAGTGCCTGGCGTACACTAACTGTTTAAGCGTTAGCTATTTTATTGGGGAACTGTACATATCTTTTTTTTGGAGAGGTTTTTGCTATAGGGCATGTGCACTCGCCAGAAAGACAGAGACAGAGAGATAGAAAGTAAGAAATCACCCCCCAGGGGGATGGCCACGCCACAATCCCTTCTCCTCCATTCTCCTCTTGGGATCTTGGGCACGCACGCACACGCGCCTGGTGTGAGTTTAAGTCACCGGGTCCGGGACTCGAACCACGGTTGACTACATGGGAGTCCAGCGACATAGCCATTACGCCAACTACTGGTCCTGGGAACTGTACATATCTTTACAAGCCCAAGGCTGTAATTTTACTACATGTAAACGAACTATACTTAATTGGTAAAAAGTACCCTGGATCATCAAAAATAAATGAAATTATGCTTAATATATGCTGCTAATAAAGACAGGAAGATCATCTTTATTTATATGCTCTTCTCCTAAATTCCTCTGACGTGGGGAGTGGAGAATGGGCAGGTACCACCATGTAACGTGGAACATATACTACATATGTGTTAATTTTTTCTCTCTTTTTAATAGTCAGGATTCTCCAAATAAACAGAAACAATAGGAAGACTCTGTGTGTGTGTGTGTGTGTGTGTGTGTGTGTGTGTGTGCGTGTGTGTGTGTGAGAGAGAGAGAGAGATAGAGACTGACTGGATGACTGATTATAGCAACTGGCTCCAGCAATTATGAAAGCTAAGAAGTCCCACATCTGCAAGCAGGAGACCCAGGAGAGCCAGTGGTGTATTTAAGTTTGTATTTAAGTTCGAGTTTTAAGGCTTCAGAACTAGTGCTGGTGGTGGTAGAGGCAATGGTATAAATTCCAGTCCAAGACCAAAGGTTATTTTTGCCTTGCTCCAAAATCAAAAAGGTCTGTTTTGCGATACACCTACAGGGCCCTGCCAAAGGATCCAAACAGAGTCCCTATGTGTCACTAGCTCTTCAAACATCTTGGATCTGCTGGGTCACAAGGCCCAAGTGGCAGAGCAATTTATATGGAAGCTTGGATATGCTGCAATGCCTTCTCTTGTTCTGGGCCTTACTTAAAACCAGCAGCTTTTCAAGTCACTTGGTAAATGTGCCAGATCAATACACCAAATGAAGACTATGTTGCCTCCAAAATCAAAATGGATCCAGTAGGCATTGTGCCATTTTCATAGCTGTAGGAAGAGCCAGGTGCAACAATTAATTTGAAATGGTGTTCACCAAACTTTGAGGGAGGAATTTATGGTGATTTTTTTACCTTTTTTTTTTAATATTCCATTTTGTTTCTATTTTATTTTACTGTGAGCATATTATTTTTATAAAAAAATCAAGTAGATATATTTAAAATAAAATAAAGCTGATAAAAGGATGTAAATTATAAGACCAACATGAGTTCAAATCTCAAATTTACCACACTTCAATATATTACAAAGGTAAATTCTATATACACTTCTGTTTTTCTACTTAAGAAAGTGCACTTTTAGGGATAAATTCAATACATATTCATTATAATAGTATTTGAGGTAAAAGCTCATTAAGCCTAGAAATCCAATAAATTTGTCTTCTAAATCAGTATCTAACCTCTCCTCTTTTGGTCTATGATCTGTAAAAGAGGATTTTCACCAAACTGTTCTGAGGACTATACAAGGTTAAGTTTGAGGAAAAAATGGAATTACTTATTTTGATGCCCCCTGCCAAAAAAAAAAAAAAAAAACCACCCTGATAATCCATAGTTTATATTTTCTCTCTCTCTCTCCTCTCTTTTTTTCTCTTATAAGAAAGCACATGCACTAGACAGAGAAGGAAGGAGAAAACATACCACTTACGGGGCATGGTCATGCCACAAATTGCCTCTCCTTCATTTCTCTACCCCTTTGGGATTTTAAACACACATACACTCATATCCAGACTGCTGCTCAAGTTGCTGGGGGTCCAGGACTCAAATCTCTTAGCTGGTAATGTGGGATCTGGCTACCTTAACCATCAGCCACAGAACCAGACCATGTAGTTTTTTCATAATACACATTTTCCATGAACTTTGTGAAGATTCTTGCACAACATTATTAAAATAATATAGGTCTAAAACCTATAGAGCTCTTCATTCTCCTGGGGTTTTCCCACACAAACTGCCATTGGATAGAAATGTAAGGGTGGCAACTTGGGACCTAGGTTCCAACAGCTCCCAAACCAAGAAAGGAACCAGAGGGAAAGAAAAGAGGTCCCTAGACATGGCAACAGCTTCTTTAAAAGGCATAGGGAGCAAAAGGAGATTGGGCCTTCATGTGATGGTAAGAATGTCTATGTGGCAGATCAGAGCCAACATCCCTGTGTGGGGCTAGAGCAGTTAAGACAGGGGCAGATCTCGGCGATATGTACACCACAAGTAAGAGTCATACTCCCACTGGTGTTACAGCTCTGCTAGGCTTAGCCCAGAGTCAGATAATGCAGCATGCTACGCCATGTCTCTAAGTTAGAGAAAGGAACAGAAGTTACTGAATAAAACATTTCTCCTTGAAGTGGGGAAGGGAAATGGTTGTTTTAATATTCAGTTGCCAAGGACAAAGGATTAAGACAGCCTGGCTCACACCCTGGATTTATTTATTCTCGATGCCCTCACCCTGTATTATTTTTCCCCACAGCACTTAGCACCATTTCATGTTATAAACTCACTTGTTATGCCCTCTCTTTTCTAAGTATAATGTAAGCTCTGAAGAGGCAGGGTTTGGTCTTGTGCACCCATGTAGCCCTAGTGCTAAGAACACCGACACCTAGTAGGCTCTCAGTTTTTTACAGAAAAATAAAATTGTACATGTAATGCACTAGTGTAGCTACACGAAATGTAATTCAAAATACAATTAGAGGCCTAGCCATGGTGTCACACAGATAGCACCACTGTTTGGCAGCCTGAAAGATGCATGAGGCCTGGAGTCAGTTCCCAGGTCAATTCAAACATGCTGTGTGCAGTTGTGCATGCCCATAATCCTAGCTAACTGGGAGACTGAGGCAAGACCCTGTCCAGAACACCTGTCTCTGCCTCTGCTTCCCCGATCCCTCACTTTCTCTCTTTCTTATAAAGGGGGAAAAAAAAAAAAGAAGAAGAAAAAGTTAAAATGTGTTTACTGGTAGCTACATCTAGCTTCATCCAATACAATGAAATGCTTCTGCTCTTGGAAGTGCAAAACTGGTTATAAGCATTGAACACATGATGAATATAAATCTCCTCCAAATGTAGACATTTTGCTATACATAAAAATGATTAATTTTCTTTCTTTTTTTTTTTTTTGAGAGTTTTTTGCCATAGGGCACGTGTGCTTGCCAGACAGACAGAGACAGAGAGACAGAAAGAGAGAAATCACTCCTCAAGGGGGGATGGTCACGCCGCAGTTCCTTCTCCCCCATTCTCCTCTTGAGATCTTGGGCACGCACACACACAGGGCTGGCGTGAGTTTTAAGCCACCAGGTCCGGGATGCGAACTGCGGTCAACTACATGGGAGTCCAGAGACATAGCCATTACGTTAACTGCTGGTCCCAAAATGATTAATTTTCCAAGTAAAATTTAATAACATAAAGATTCTGTACTTTTGACATTGCTTAATTTTTTTCAGCAAGTAAAGCTGTGACGTGAAATGAATTTTTTATGATAAAGATACACTGGCATATGGATTCAAAACTTAATGATGTTATTTATATTTTATGGATTTATTTACATTTATTGTCCTTAAAAATCACTCAGGTAGTTTCTCACCTGGAATTTCAACTTTTCTAAATGCCATTCACATGCCTTCACATTCCTAAGTCATTTGGTAAAGCTTAACTAACTCTGCCAAGTAGAAGTAATCGCTCTTCTCTCAGAAACATTAGCATGTTAATAATAATGTTAAGCACGATTTGAATGAAATCATTTGACACCTAAAACTAACACAAGCAAAGCAGGAGCATAACTAGACGGGGGACCACCTGGATGGGCCTCTGTACCCCTCCTGCATTCCACGTAACCCAGGACATGTGTTGTAACCTCCCTTGGCCTTTTTGGCCTCCATAGAAAAAGACAAGTAACTTCCCAACTGTGGGCTTACAAGAAATACCAACATGGCTTGAAAGAGTTTGGTGGGCATCCATGAAAAAGAAAATATCAACGTAAATCTATTTGGAGAAAAAAAAAAAAAAGGTTTGCCAACTAAAAACGAACACGCAATTTTGATAGTGTTTTACAAAGCTGTTTATTACAAGCTTACAAATTATTACAGGCACTCTTAGTATGTGCTGTGACGATAACACTTATTTGTGCTACTGGCTACTAAGACTCTTTTGTGTCCTTAAAAATAAATCAATGAATAAACATATAAACTGCCTCATGTTAATCCCTAGCCAAAATCTAACTAAGGCAGTAACTCTGATAATGCCTTGGGACTCTGAGCAACTCTGGATATTTTCATCTACCAAGTGAAAAGGCTGATTCATTTGCTTAGGAAAACAGCCTCATCACATCCCATCCTCAAGAAAACATTAGCAATCCAAAGCTGCTCAAAGAACTGTGAATTTCCCCGTGTTGCTGCTACATCCCACAGAAAAGAGAACATCACGTTGCCGAGCAACACAGGGCTTCCAGAAGGAGGATCAGCTAGTTATCCCCCCACCCAAGCAGGTTGCCCGCAAAATGACCTTAAGCAGACATTCTTGGCCACTCTCCTGTATTTCTATTCATCTCCCAAATTTCTCCACTATGTATTTGAAGGTTTTCAAACGTCAGAGGGCATCAGATCAACCTGTGGACTAAAGCCTTGCTAACTTTAATGAGAGACTCTACAGGCACCTGGATGTCCCCCAAAGTCCTCAGGAGAGCCTAATCCGAACTGCTCTTAGAGTCCACAAGAAAGAAGAACAGAGTTAGTGCTCACCCTTACAAAATGTATCAGAGTACTTGGAAGACAGAGATTTTTTATCAGTTGTTTTGATTTTTTCTCTAATCAATTCTTAATTTTAATTCTATAATAAAAGAACATACAATATGACATATACTAAAATGCAAAATAAAAAAAACCAAATCAGTCTGAATGTTTGGTGTTATTAAACAAACAAAAATCTTTCTTAAAGGCAAAAGTAATTAGAATAAAATTGTTATGTCTTTTACAAACCTATAAAATTAAGAACATATCAAGACATAGGCAAAAGCATGAAAATAAAGCAAGCATGGCCTGTATATTGTACTGTGCTACCTCTGTGCTCTTCTCAGAAAGGGCACAGTAAACCCCAACCTAGGATACAATGCAAACCAAGGGAACTGCATCCAGTGTATTAATATTTATGTATATGCTGTCATGAGTCCAGAAAGTATCTCATTATAAGTTCTCTTAGGGTAGTAGGAACATGAAGTGTTATCCTGTCTAACTGGCATAAATGAGTCCCTAAACCAGACTTCTAAAATGTACTTGACTAACTACATATCTTAAGATATCATGACTCTTCCACCCTTCTCTATCTGGATGAGTCACTGATGCTCATTTTATTATCAGGTAGTCTAGAGGCTATTAAATGATTTTTAAAAAGAGATCTAAATAATCCTAGAGGTCTGGACTAAATTTCTCAAAGCAAGACTAAATTGAAATCCATTCTGTTTTTAACTCTGGCTACAGCAAAGTAGAAAATGAATGGTGAATGTACAGGTACTAGTACAGTTACTTTGTTGGAGGGCTTGAGAAGACCACTATCCACAAACTCAAGCAACAAAGAGAAGGGCAGAGTCTTGAACATGCAAAAAGCATTTTGAACACTTATGCATTTTATTTTTCCATATATAAAGTGAATATAATATTAACCTGCCACTGTAAAAGCTAATTAAGTCATAGTCTATTTAAATCATTTAACAGTTAACTTCAAGTAACAAACAATTTCTGTAAACCTAAACCTCTCTACAGAGGCATAGCTCAAATCTTCTCTCAACATTCCCTATGGAGTTGTTCCATGCAGTTTCATACAGTTGCTATGAGTCTTTGTATTTCCAAATTGGTGATAATGTCTTTCATGGTGAGAAGCCAGTGAGAAAAGAATGTAATGGTTAAAAAATACTAAATGAAGAGAGAAGTTCCTGTTATCCTCATTAAGAGATCTTAAAAGGAAAGGAAAGGGCATGTCAAAAGGAGGGAGAAGAGAAGCTATAGCCTTTCAGGGAGATTAAATGATGACCTACATAAAATAAAAAAGGTTTAGCATTAATTTCCATAACCTTTTCTGTTTTTACTTAAAACTGGAGGGGTGATATAGCTATCTAAATGTTTCTGTACACTTTCACTTTTGATTAACCTTAACATATACTATCATTAAAACACATATTTACACATCTTAAAAGAACATTATGGCTCTTCAAACATCCTAAGTTTATAAAGACCCTCAGTCATTCCAAGATATAGAAAGGAAAATTTTTTCCTGTGAAAAATAAGAGAAATTCACTTACTTGTATTGATCAGAAATTGATTTGACACACCAGGATGATCAACATCATGTATTGCACTGGCAAAAATAGCTGCAAGAATTTCCAAATCTGTAAACACAGCCTGGAAAATCAGACAATACAGATCACATTACTATTCTATAGTGATGTGAGTCAAAAGTATAAATAAATGAGAAATAAACTCCTGGAACTAAAATGGAAAACAGAAGCTTCAAATTATATTACTGTAATGTGTCATGAGTCTTTCTGATAATGAAATACTAATGAATTTCTTAAGTGTAATCTTAGAAGAAAATATGTTATCTAATTTTATTATATCTCATAATTAAACCTTTTTTCCATTTGTTATATATTTTTAAAAATTATAAGAGAAGTGTCAGAAAAAACAGCTTATTTTCTAAGTATTTAAGATGTTTAAAAATACTCTGAAAATGTACATAAAATTAATAAGATATGAGCAATTCTTTTCTTCTCTTTTATTCAAACCAGGAGTTCTCAATCTGGGGTCTATTAAAATTTTGAGTCAGATAACTCTCTGTGTGGGCTATCCTGTGCCTTGTAGGATTGTCGAGCAGGATTTTTTAGCAGAATTTCCAGATTTTACCCATAGATGCCAGAACATGACAATCAAAATGTCTCCAGACATGGCCAGTCATCCCTGCAGGTAAGTGGAGGGAATAGAGGAGGAGAGCAATCTCCATTGAGAACCATTCTCTCAAATGATGAGGTTACTAGCCCAATTTTATAATAAAAACAATCTGAGTTATAAAATATATTAGCCCAAGAGAATCTGTACCTAAATGTCTAGGGTAATCAAATACTTTAAAAAAATACATAAGGAAACAATGTCCTTATGATTTGGAAAACTTAAGTATTTTCTTCTAATTAATTGCATAAAAAAAATCAATGCATTGCTTATATTTTATCAAATAGTCATCCTTTGAGTGATACATAAGCCACCAGACTAAATTTCAAAAAAAAAACTGATCTAACTAAAAGTGAATAAAGCAGATGTGCTTTATGCTCTGTCTACTAGATCATTTCAAAGAAGCAATATCATAAAGAGATGATGCCTTAAATCTTTGACTGACATTCACAGGCAAAGAGATACAACTATTTATGGACCACAACATTTTTTTCCCTGTAAATCAATATAATTCCAACAAAGCCAATTATGTGCTACACTGTGAGCCCTTCAGTATAAAAGTTTAAGAGATATCTATGACTGGCAAGTTAACATTCTTGAAATTTTAGAAAAATGATTTACCTCCAAAGCAGGTGTGGATAATAGCACATGAGTGGACTGGACAACATCTGCAGCATGGATATTATTGTGGTAGGCCACGTCAGCATGGTAATGGTCTTCAAGAGTCATAAGATATGTAATTAAAGTGTCCACTGGAATTTTAAACGTTTTTAATAGATCCCGTTCCTATAGAGAAAAAAAAATCCTCTAAATATTTGTTTTCAGATAGATAAAAAATTTTCTATAGATTATGTTAAAAAAAAAAAAAAACACACACCAGTATGGCCTACAAACAACTCCAAAGAAGAAAAAGCCCTCTTACCCATCTGATGAGGGGAAATGGAAACCTTTGAGAAGATCCAAGGATTCTAACAAGATCAGAGTTAAGCTGTCCTGGGGGCCCGAAAGGGCTATACTCAAGCCATGTGGTGTCAGGACCACCAACTACACCAACTATAGAAGTTTCTGGGCTGCATTATCATGAAGGCAGCTTCAGCAGTGGACCATGACTGAGCCACTAGATCACACCAATTGATACTCAACCCTCTCTTAGGGCTGCAGTTTCCCAGCTTGGCCTAAGATATCTACAAAAACCTAAACTTCTCACTTCAATTCCACCCTGAACTGGACAAAGGCTCCACAATAGTGAAAACCAGGTAAGGAGAAGAAAACTAAACATAAGATAGTGATCAAGAAATTACATTCTAAGGTTAGTTAGCAGAGGGCTTACTCATTTTTTAAAGTCAGCATTCTATGCAGCTCAGAGTCATGGGAATGATTTTAAATTATTATCTTAACAAATTGCTTCTATTTCCCCACTTCATATCTTTTTCTTAAATGAAAAAAAAAAAAATGACAAACTTAGTTTGTGCTTTACCCAGACCCCACCTTTCTGTATCTTTACTTGTCCCTGGGTAAAGGAGGAAATAAGAAAGTATCAAAATAAGCAAAAGAGGGTGAGTGGTAAAGAAGACAAAATGCATGCATATCCACAGACTGGACAGTAAGTTCCTGCATCAAAGAAACTCAAACGCATTACCTGAAAAATGGTGTGCATGATAACAGTCAAAGGCCGGTTACCAGACAGCTCTGCTATTCTGAACACATGAAGACCCCATTTGTTCACATCTTCTAATTCCTAGGTTAAAGAAACATACCAAAAACTTAGGAAGGGGAAGTATTATATAAATCAATGAATACAGGTCATTTAAAATTATTGACTTTAATGGAAAGTTGTTAGTTTTGTTTGTTTGTGTTTTTTAAGAGAGGTTTTTTTAACTATAGGGCGTGTACACTCTCTGGAGAGACAGGGGCAGAAAGTAAAAAAATCACTTCCTGCGGGGGATGACCATGCTTCAATCCCTTTTCCTCCATCCTCCTCCTGGGATCTTGGGCATGCATGCACATGTGCCCAGTGTGAGTTTTAAGCTACTGGTTCCAGGACTTGACCCACAGGCAACTATGTGGGAGGCCAGCAATGTAACCATTATACCATCTGCTGGTCCCAGGATAGTTAGTTTGTAAACAATGCTTCAGTTTAAATACCACATATTCTTACTCATACATAGAAGCTAAAAGAGTGGATCTCCCAGAGGCAGAGAAGAGAATAGTGATTACAAAGGCTGGGAAAGGTAGTGGGGAGGAGGGGTTAGTGGGATGTTAATTAGTGGACACAAGACTACATTTAGATACTAGCAGGAGTAATTTCTACTGTTCTATAGCCTAAAAAGGTGACTACAGCTAACTATAATTTATTGTACACTTCAAAATAGCTAAAAGAGAGGGTTCTGAATGTTCTCCACACAAAGTTATAATAAGTGTTTAATTTAATGCCAATTACCCTGATGTGATTAATACACATTGTATTTATTCACATATCAAAAATCCCACTTCACCTCATAAATATGCACAATTATTATGTGTCAATTAAAAATAATAGATAGATAGATAGATAGAAGACAGATGTAATGGATGTTCCATGTAAGTACAAGCATACTTTAGGGAGATGCACTTAAATGCACTGAAAACTGTATACAAAGTACTATTTAACCTATGACTTTGACAGTACGACCTATGTGTTTACTTTGAATATCAGTCTCAAAGCATTTCAATGGATAAAATATGTCACAAAATCTTAACTACTATTCTAAAACCTAGAGGAGATGATATATTTTTAATTTTTAAGGTCAATCAAATGAAGGTACAAATAAGTAAGAAACTACTATCTGCCAAATCACCTGCCTAAATCTACACACTAATAACAGCCAAATAATTTACTAAGCACTTTATGAAGTGTTTTTTTCATTGTCAAAATAAAGACACACACACAAATTAATGAATTTTTGCATTTTTTAGAGCATGTTTTGCTGTAGGCCGTGTGTACTCCCTGGAAAGACAGAGGGAGACAGAGAGACAGAAAGTGAGAAATCACGCCCCTGGGGGGATGGCCATGTCACAATCCCTTCTCTTCCATTTTCCTCTTGGGATTTTGCCACACACTCATATGTGCCTGGCATGAGTTTAAAGCCACCAGGTAGACTACATGCAAGTCCATGACGTAACTATTACACCATCAGCTGCTACCAAATTTTTCCATATGTTTTAAAGAAATCGAAACTCATGGAAAGGCATCCTTCAGTAAGATCTTTGAAACTGTCTTACCTTGGCAAGGACATCTTCCTGTTCGGTTTTCACTCCAAACCTTGGGATACTTGAATTAGTCAGACTAGAGCTGTGCATCAGTTTCTTGACTCCACTGATCTGAGACATTGGTCTTTTCTTTTTCTCCTTTTCCTTCTGAGTTGGAGAAGGGATTTCCACCTCATGTTGCTTATCTTAAAAAATTCAGAAAATGTTCTACATTTATTATTAACTCTACCTGTTTTTTTTTTTAAAATCATCACATGCATAACTGGACAGACTATAATTGACCAGTATATATCCCAGGCAATATTTTCAAATAAAACTGCTTCTTTTAGAAAGTTGAGTATTTATAATTTGATGTGGACTTAATTTGATATGTCCAAACACAAAATTAAGCAAATTCCACTATAAAATAATTAACATAAAATGTACTCAGTGGATAGCTCTTTAATAGAATGTCCTAATTAAAAGTTCATAATACTTATGATAGCAGAGACAGAGAATGCTATACCTAGGTTATTTCTACTGTTTATCAATGCCATTACTTTTTTTTTTTTTTTTGGAGAGGTTTTTGCTATAGGGCGCGTGCGCTTGTCAGACAGACAGAGACATAGAGACAGAAAGTGAGACATCACCCACCAGGGGGGATGGTCATGGCGCAATCCCTTCTCCTCCATTCTCCTCTCAGGATCTTGGGCATGCACGCACACGCGCCCGGTGTGAGTTTTAAGCCACTGGGTCCGGGACGCGAACCGTGGTCAACTACGTGGGAGTCCAGCGACATAGCCATTATGCTAACTGCTGGTTCCCAATGCAATTACTTTTAAAAATTCACTTAGTTTTTGAAAACTACCCTCGCCAACTAAGGACTTAAACATGTACTTTGGGATTACTGAAACTTCATACATAAATGTCGTAAAAACAGCAGCACATAAACCTAACAGTCAACTGCCATGAGTTATGCTGTGGGACTTCAAAAAGTATTTTTGGATGACTTAGATGACTACTGCTAATTTTTTATTTCTATACTATAGGGAAGTAAGGGTTATGATGTAACCAGGTTTTATGCAGAGGGTAGAGAATCTCAAATATTATTTGGCAAGTGAATATGCATCTATGCTAACAGTTGTTTTCTTCAGTAAAAGACATACCTTGGTACATTCATCCACTACTTCAAGTCATTGGCAAACTCATCCGTGTACATAATACAAGATAAACTCATGACTCACCTAGACTCATCCGTGTACATAATACAAGTTCAATAAATGTGTAGTAAATGTGTGAATTAGCTATTATGACAAATTCATTTTCAAAGTAAATCCAAATCTATGATATGTTTAAGGGACTGAATTTTACTTATCACATATTCTTTCCACAGATGAGGTAGGGAAGTTGGCCTGGTACACCATATTCTCAGCTATTATCAGCAATCATAGCCAATGTATTATGTCTGTCCACCTTTACCAGGCTTGGTGTCCATCAGACCATCACCTATCAGGGGCAACTTATTATATCTAGTACCCAGCAATGGCTAGCACTTAAGAATTTGTTGACAGTATAAACAGATCTCTCTATAAAATACATTTTTAGTTCAGTACTACAGAAAGCTGGCAATATAAATATAAATATAAATTCAAAAACCCAAGACTTAAATAAAACTAAAAGACAAAAATGTACTTTGTAACCTTAGATTTTAAGGCTAGAGGCTCATCCTCTCAATGAATAAAAACAAATGGAATTGCTAAGACTCGTTTGGTTTCCAAAATGAGTTGGCACCCTGATCTCCCTCCCCAAACAAACAAGAAATGACTCAAAAGTAAAATCTTAAAATTGCATGTTGTTTTTCTCACCTAAGAATGTATTTGATATATACTCTGATACTTGATTTCCAGAACGACTCATTTCAGAGAGATGAGTGAGCTCCCGATTAAGCATCCTTTTAAACTGAAAAACAAAAAGGTAAAATGAAATAACGTAAGAGGACAATGTACGTGAAATAGCATATGCACATCTTGAGATATAGCAAGATACGTCCACAGAATTTTTAAACTTTCTTGAAATTTAGATCAATGCCATCAACAGAAGTTTTTGCAGTAATAGAACATATCAAAATCAGTGCTGTGCAATACTGATGTGGCTATCAAGTACTTGAAGTATGGCTAATACAAAATTCAAACTGAATTTTGAATTTATTCTATTTTAGTTATCTTCACTTTAAATGCTCACTTGGGTCTAGTGGCTATCATACTGGATAACAGCTTTAAACATTGAAGAACATCAATTAAGGTAAATAAAAAACTAAGATGTATTATGAGCATTTAGAGAAAAAAACTACATTATTGATAACACAGAAGTGTTGCCACACACAATGAAACACGGTCGCACATACCTAAGATATTATTATTTCAAAAATTATCATTTTTTTTGCAAATCACTGGTACTTTTATGAATTAATTTATCATTAGCAGAAATAAATACATATACTCTTCGGAAGTTAAAATTTGGCCTTTTACCCCAATGTAAAACTGAATAGATTTGAGTACCCTTCTAGAACTATGGAAAAATAAAATATTTTAATAAATACTAATAATAAATAAAGGAAATATGCTTTTCCTTTTCATATTTTTTTCCAGTAGAAAGTATAAGATCTGATTTCAGTATCCATAAAATTTACCAATCCATTTCCCAAGTCATTACACAGAAAACAGGTCAATTTTCAATACTCTTTCACTACTTCATAATTTATTTTACTGATGCCATAATACCTACTTTATCCAAAGAAATACTAAAACAACATATTACTAATATCCAGAATTAGTGTTTACCCACTCAACTGTTTCATAGTGGTCTTCCTTTGTCTCTGAACACAGCCCAACTGGGCCTATTCATATGCCTTCACTATTTAACATAGAGAAACAATATGCTTTTTCTATGTATAAAATCTTGCTATTAGATACTTGATTGACAAAATTCTGAATTCACCATACATTCTCATGTAAGTCTAGGTGAGTCATGAGTTTATCTTTTATTTGAGTAATGCTTGAAATTTAATTCTTATTCAGTATTTAATTAGTTAATTTAGAACTTAAAAAAGTACAGTCTTGACTCTGCAGAATTCAAAACTAAGATGGCCTAACTGAATGTAGTTTGCCAAATCACTTCCAAAGTTAATCTTACTAATAATCTTGACTTAGTATAAGAATTTAACTATCACTGAAAAGCACTGACAAAGACCAAAAGAAAGAAAAGTTCAATAAACTATTAGATATAAAAAACACATCTTAGCATAACTCTTGCAATCAAAAATGAAGCTAGCCAAGACCAATAAAAATTCTGGTTGGTCAATTTACAGGTCTAGGGAGTTTATTTTCAAACTGAGGAAAACACAAAATTCATTTCTTTTTTTCAATTTTTTTTTAAGTTTGCTGTGGGGCATGTGTCCTTGCCAGAGACTGAGAGAAAGAGAGAGGAAGTGAGAAAGCACCCCCGGGGGGCGGGGATGGTCATGCCACAATTCTTTCTCCATTCTCCTCTCGAGATTCTGAGCACAAATGCACATGTGCCCAGCATGTTTTACCAACTACCAGGTCCAGGACTTGGAACTGCACAGTAGGCCATGTGAGATCTAGCTGCCTTAACCACCAGGTCATCAGCTGGCCCCATTCATGTATTTTTATAACTTCTTTCCAATTATAAAATGCACTAATACTACAGAAAATATAGGAAGCCAATTAAAAAAAAGAAAAGATCTAAACCCCATTGTTCAGAGATAATCATAGATAAATAGCTGTATTTCCATCTATATCTTTTTTTACGTAAACATATGTCTGTATTTTTTAAAACTGGCATCATGCAGTATATAAAATATAGGATGCTGCTTATTTCACTTAACATTGTATGTTATGATATACTAGAAAACAAAATGTGAAGTCTTCTAAGAATATCGATAAATTTATAACAGTGTTCAAATTTTTCTGTCCATTTTTCCAGTTAGATTTTATTGAGTAAATTATGGGTTATCAACTAATTAAATTAGCTAGTAGAAAGTTTCTCGTTATTTCACCTGACATATATTAGATGCTCAATATAATTTGCTTTCTTTAGCTCCCTTTCTAGCACTTAGTACTTGACTTCTGGGCCTTTTATGCTGACAGATTTTTTTCTTCTTTTGTCAGAGGGCATTCATATTGGCCAGAGAAGAGGAGATGGGGAGAGAGAGAAAGCATGCTCCAATTGGGCATGCTTCATGCCACAATGCTTTTTCTTCCATTTCTCCATCCCATCAGGATTTTGGAAATAAATGCACATATGCCCAGCATACTTTTCAAGCCAATGGGACCAGAATTTGAACCACAGTCAGTCATGTGGGATCTATGCACAGGGCTTAACTATTGAGGGGCAGGGCTAAACCGTAATAGCTGATTTCTATCACTGCAGGACAGACGATGCAGAATTTGACTATAGTTATGAACATAAACATACATATGTAAATAGTTACCTCTCTTTTCTCCAATCCCTTAAAAGAATTTAGGACAATATTCACATGGGAAACTGTGGCTAGGTTTCCTATATGACAATATTCATACGGGAAACTTTGGCTAGGACTATAATATCCTGCATCATAGCTCCTGGGTAGGAAAATCCTTGCTTTATAGATGAAATTTATCATTGAAAAATATCTACTCACTAGACAAAGCACATTCAAAAAAAAAATGCTAAAAATTTTAAACATTTATTCAATGAAATATCTCTTTGGTCTGAAACCGTCCATGTTATGAGTTAAAATTGGTTATTAGAAATTATCTGGTTATTATAAAATCCTTTTTTGTAAAAGATGGGGGAATAGGCAAGACTTGCAGCCACAGCTGGGCTCTCAGCAGTTCATACAGAAGTTGCTGTCCACCTTGCAGTGAAACTAAACAACAATGTCAGCCTTGGGTGGAGGTGGGGGGAAATGGAAAAGTTAGACAGGATCCACCTTTCCACAAACCCAGCTTCTATACAAACTGCTACATCTACTGGTATGAGAAATATGTTGCCATGTGCCCAAGTGGAAAAATGTGTGTGATACTTACACATATGCTACACAAGTTACTGGATTTTTCTAGAATAATGTAAAGAATGAATTATAATTTTCCAGGCAGTTTGCTTACACAGTTCATCCGAACAGCTAGTTAGTACAGATAACTATGGCAAAAATGCCAGTGAAAGGAGTCTAACTATTGTACAGACTACATAAATAAATAAATGATAGGCTGCCTATTTCACTGTATACTTTTGCATCATATATATTATTTCTCCACTATTCTCTTGCCTTTATTCAAAACACACACAAAAATGGCTTGTTAAAAAAATAAAAATTAAAAACAAGGCTTTGCCAGGTGCTCCATGGAAGTCAACGTTTCTTTTTAACATAATTTACAAGAGACAATATTAGAAGCAACCCTCTTTGTTTGCAAAGAAAAAGTGTGTGTGGGGGGGTGCAGGTCCTCCCTATTTAAGATCATTTTCAGAGCCAGTTAAGTTATAACATAAGGGTACTTTCTAAAAGGAATTAAAATGGCTCCTTTGTTGCTATTGATAAAAAAAAAAAACTTTCAGTTCAAAGAACCTAAATTAATAACCACAAAAATAACCATGAATGCTTTATCAAATAGCAGATAATTTTACAAATAGGTTTTAGAGTGTATAGCTAATTGTATTAAAGAACAATTCAGGGGCTATTCAACAAACATTTTAAAATAAAGTGGAATTTCATTTTAAGATAACTATGTAATATTTAACATAACTATATAAAATTACTACAGGAGAGAGGGAGGAGAAAGGGGTGAGTAAAAAAAAACTAGTAAAATGTATTCCTCGTTAAACACTATTACATCTCTCACTTAATGGATTTAGAAGAGACAAAGTACAGAAATGCTTTCAAAAGAAATGGATGCAAAATGCACAACAATTTAATTGATCGTTTAGTTATTCTTTATAGTGACCTCTATAAACTATTCTCTGTTGATGTATTTTCTTTTGGGCTTACACAGATTGAGAACAATGCACATCATTATGGTCGCAATAAAAAAGAAAGAGGAAGATTTTTAAGTGGATGCTCTCAAGTCCTTTGTTCTCATGCATCAGAATGTCTGTGTGCAGCATTTAAGGCATAAAGAAAGTAAAACTGCAATCACATCTGAATACTGCATTTGCTTTTTGAAAACTCCAGTCCCTTAATCTACATTCTGCATTGAAGACTGTTAAGGAAGCAAAATAAAATAATAAAACAAAAGTGAAATATTCTTAAGGTCAATCCTCTGTTTCCAGTGTGCTGCTGGGTATATAACATAACCTCAGAGTATATATTTAAGAAGGTGGTATAGGTCAAACAGCAAAGAAATGCTCATTTCCTCCCCACCTCAGTATTCTGCTACAAATCATTTGAATATGCTGCACTATGAGTTTGATAGATATTACTATTAAAATACATTTAAATAAATATTGCATTGGCTGCATGAAAGCACATCCTTTAAAATGCCTAATAAAACTAAATATGCCTATATTTGCCTTCTTAAAAGTTTTTAGCATTATGGTATTAAAGCACAAAGCTGTCCAGCAAAAATTTCCCTCAAAAAGATAGATACTAAAATTCTGTATCTGAATTCTTGTTGGTATTGCTCACAATGATACAAATGTGAAGCCCTTCAAAAATGCATCAAACAGGAGGCAGGTAAAAAGCAAAAGGAAGAATTTTAGGGAGATTATAGGGTTTTCTTACATTATTCTCTACATTTTTTTCTTTTAAAACAGTGTTTAGAAGTGGCCAGCAGAATCTAAGAATGAATGTCTATATATTTAGAAAACAATTTTAAAAGTTTAGACCACCCATAAATTTAAAGGGAGGGAAGAAATCCTGACTACTTGGACAACCAAAACTGAAATAAGTTTTCTAATTTTCC